GCCAACCCACATCTTGTTCACAAGATTCTGCAGAGGACGACCGAAACGTTTATTGTCATCATATCTCATATCGTAAACACAGCAGAGGATACCTGTGCTTGCCTATTGTGTTTTAGGATAATTACACAAATACACTCACCGGCCACTTTATTAGGTACACCTGTCCAACTGCTCGTTAACACTTAATTTCTAAGCAGCCAATCACATGGCGGCAACTCAGTGCATTTAGGCATGTAGACATGGTCAAGAAAATCTCCTGCAGTTCAAACCAAGCATCAGTATGGGGAAGAAAGTTGATTTGAGTGACTTTGAACGTGGCATGATTGTTGGTGCCAGAAGGGCTGGTCTGAGTATTTCAGAAACTGCTAATCTACTGGGATTTTCACGCACAACCATCTCTAGGGTTTACAGAGAATGGTCCGAAAAAGAAAAAACATCCAGTGAGCGGCAGTTCTGTGGGCGGAAATGCCTTGTTGATGCCAGAGGTCAGAGGAGAATGGCCAGACTGGTTCGAGCTGATAGAAGGGCAACAGTGACTGAAATAACCACTCGTTACAACCGAGGTATGCAGCAAAGCATTTGTGAAGCCACAACACGCACAACCTTGAGGCGGATGGGCTACAACAGCAGAAGACTCCACCGGGTACCACTCATCTCCACTACAAATAGGAAAAAGAGGCTACAATTTGCAAGAGCTCACCAAAATTGAACAGTTGAAGACTGGAAAAATGTTGCCTGGTCTGATGAGCCTCGATTTCTGTTGAGACATTCAGATGTTAGAGTCAGAATTTGGCGTAAACAGAATGAGAACATGGAACCATCATGCCTTGTTACCACTGTGCAGGCTGGTGGTGGTGGTGTAATGGTGTGGGGGATGTTTTCCTGGCACACTTTAGGCCCCTTAGTGCCAATTGGGCATCGTTTAAATGCCACGGCCTACCTGAGCATTGTTTCTGACCATGTCCATCCCTTTATGGCCACCATGTACCCATCCTCTGATGGCTACTTCCACCATGTCACAAAGCTCTAATCATTTCAAATTGGTTTCTTGAACATGACAATGAGTTCACTGTACTAAAATGGCCTCCACAGTCACTAGATCTCAACCCAATAGAGCATCTTTGGGATGTGGTGGAACGGGAGATTCGCATCATGGATGTGCAGCCGACAAATCTGCGGCAACTGTGTGATGCCATCATGTCAATATGGACCAAAGTCCCTGAGGAATGCTTCCAGCACCTTGTTGAATCTATGCCACGAAGAATTGAGGCAGTTCTGAAGGCAAAAGGGGGTCCAACCCGTTACTAGCATGGGGCACCTAATAAAGTGGCCGGTGAGTGTATATCCAGGTCATATTTCAAGAAAATTAAACCTATTTGGGTTTTTTTACAAGTAAGGTCTGTTTATTTGCATTGTGATATTATCATCATGCTAATTTCCCTTAAAATTACAAACCAAAAGACTGGCATTATTGTACTAATGAAAAAAATCCTCCAAAGGAACTTCTTTTTTTAATTAAAATTATAATAAAAATAAATGCAGTACAAATAAATGCTACTATGCAGGTCACATGGTATACTTTAATGTACGATTTAAATATATCATTATAATGATAATTTCTTTTAAAAAAATACAGCAATGATAATTAGGGGGTGAATAAAAGTCACAAGAATGACATTCATAATGTTCATAAAGTTTATAATGTTCAATTCATAAAGATTTCTATTTCAAATAAATGCTTTTGAACCCTCTATAAATATCAAATAAATATAAAAAATATATTACACACAACAGTTTTCAACATTTATAAAAAATATGTGTTTCTTGAGCAGCAAAACAGCATATTTAATGATTTTTTAGAATAATTATAAATAATTTTCAGTAAAGATGCTGAAAATTCAACTTTTTCATCACAAGGATAAATTACATTTTAAAATATATTCAAATAGAAGACAGTTATTTAAAATCGTAATCATATTTCACAATATTACTGGGTTTTTTTTCTGTATTTCTGCCTCAGCAGAAGAGACTCCAAACTTTTGAACATTAGTGTGTGACTTGAACATTGGCAATGTTTGGCAAAGTTCACTCTACATAAGATAATGAAGTGAAGGGTTAACTTTACCTCAAACACAGTAAGGCTGTACATCATGACATATTCGTTCCTGCTGTTGGAGAGGAAGTAGAGGCAGAGCCTCCACGAGCCGGGCTGCCCCGCGAAACTGTTCAGCAGCTCTTCTGCGATAAACAACACCACACAACAATCATTACAAAACACATTCTCATCTAATTGAAACAAAGCACGCAGTGAAAGTTAGTAATGTTTACTTAGGTTTGTTGCCTTTAAAGGGATACTCCACTTTTTTTGGAAATAGGCTCATTTTACAACTCCCCCAGAGTTAAAATGTTGAGTTTTACCGTTTTTGAATCCATTCAGCCGATCTCCGGTTCTGGCGGTACCACTTTTAGCATAGCTTAGCATACATCATTGAAGTGGACAAGACCATTAGCATTTCTAAAAAAAAAATGACCAAAGAGTTTTGATATTTTTCCTATTTAAAACTTGACTCTTCTGTAGTTACATCGTGCACTAAGACCGACGGAAAATGTAAAGTTGCGATTTTCTAGGCTGATATAGGAACTATACTCTCATTCCTGCGTAATAATCAAGAAACTTCACTGCCATACCATGGACAAGGACAGTATACCGTACATACATTTTCAGAAAACTCTCGGACTAAGTTTTATAAGTTTTCGGAGGGTGAGTCATTAATGACATAATTTTCATTTTTGGGTGAACTAACCCTTTAATGTATAACTCAATATGCAATACCATGTCCTAAATGATCAACACTAAATGCTGTGTAAATCATCTGCTAATGTCTATTGCAGATGCACAGTCAACTTGTTCCAACATAGATACAGAGTGAACATATATAGATAATATACATAGATGTCTCATTAGTGTCTGTTTCTATGTTGAGAATCACTGGTTTAGTAACATATTGATCATGCTCAGTAAGCCGGGAGTACGTCCCCCTCGAGAGAGCAAAAGGCTCTCCTGAGAATTAACGCAGACGCAGCACACAGTGCAGTTCACACCTTACTCATCACATGCCCCTGCTCCCCCTCTTCTCCTCCTCACCTCACTGAAAACCCATGCAATATTATGTGTGTACAAAAAGTAACAATACATGTTTGGTCTCATTTTAAGTGTCTCAGTGCGCCTGGTAAAATGGTCTCATTCTCCCAACTATAATGAAAAGCTAAAAGAAGTTATAAAGTATGAGAAAAGTGATGTGTCCCTTAAAGGTGTTCCCTCCCTCAGATCCTCCATTCATACTACCTCCTGTATGTAAAACAAGAACCCATTCAAGCAATGAACCCCTCGTTAGGGGACCAAAATCGAATTATAATGACAGACCACTATTTGGTAAAGAATATTGAATTTCTGGGTTTATAAGGAAAAGGAGCAGAAAAGTTCGAGGAGTCTGTAGGTTGACTTCCCGCACAACCGCTGTGTGTAATTTCCGTTGCCAGGTAATAATTTCTCCAGATTTCTCGATTTCTGAATTGTTGTTATGATATGAACAACTGATGATTTCATGAATTGGATTTTGAATTATTGCTTCATTACCTGGTCAATAAATTGTAAACGTTTGATTTTATTCTGACTGACTCTAAGATTATTTTTCCCAAATAGATTATCGGATCCGTATACTTCCACAAGTTTTGCATCAGATTAGTGACGACTAGTATCCGACATCACTTCAAGCGTGCTTGGGTGCAGAGACAAGATATTTCTGTCTAAGTAACGGCAAATGTGCTGTTTGATCAGCTTAGATTCGGGTGTGTCTCGAATACCTCTGTTTTGATTTAATGTTACTTTGATACGCGTGCGTGAGTGATCACGGGCTTGGCCAATCAAAAACCATTTTTAGAGAAGTGAAGCTGATCGACTGACGTCTTTTAATGGGGGCCAAAAACTCTATTGAAGTAAATCTATTGAATTAAATTCACGTGGAGGCATTTCAACGGGGTTATTAAAGTATCTTTTGATTGTGTACGTGTGAATACGGCAAATCTCAGATATTTAGCCAATCGCCCTGTTTGATGACTGGAAACTGGCAAGATTGTGTCGGAGACCTGCGAAAGACGCACGGACCTCAAAGTGCTATAGTTTCCTAATCTGAGCGGGTAAAATAAGAGTTAAAAAGTTCAAACATTCGTTAACATTTGATGATACACAGATATCATTAAAACCTTTTTTCATTTATGGAGTCAGATGAAATAACGAGAAAATACATATGAGAAACTATGTTCCATTTAATCTTGTTGTGTTGCATAAATGGAAAGACAGCAACACGCAGAGACCTTATTGGAAACCCGTATTATTGGAAACCCTCTTTGGACCAATAGATGGGCTTACAGCTCCAATGTAATATGTAAATATATTCACAAACACATTTTTAAGTTACATTTGAGTATTTATTTAATGTACCTTCTTCATGTTAAATTAACAGTCTATAAATAATTATTTAATGAATTTCCCCCATAGGATTGTGTTCGGATCACAAAAATCTGGTAAAAGGCGAGTAGTCATTTATTTGAAAAAACATTGAAAAAACATTAAAGTATATCGTTTACAGAAGTTAGTTAAAACACTGTGTGTGTGGTCACTTGTTAAAGAATGTAACCAATTAAAAATGTAACAAAAATAGCTTTTTAGAAATAATTATGAACCATAAAACTTGACTTCGCTAGTGCATCAAAGCGAAAATAAGTTCTTTTCAAAATATTTGTAAATATTTTCTCCAAAAGGTTTTTTTTTTTTACTTATTTTATTTTAATAATATATAACATTTCAATTTATTTACATGCAAAAAAATTAAAATTACAGTACATCATTTGTGCACTTACAGTCAAAAACTGCCTTTAATCAGCATTTATGTGCTATTGAGTAAATTGACCTGAAATCGTCCCAGCTGAGGGTGATCGGACCAGTAAATTGAACGCATAGTCGCCGGCCCCTCTTAAATGTGGTAAATGTTTTTATGATCGCATCCCTCCCAGTCGATGAGCTCTGAGCAATCAAACCACAGCGAGATCTCCCGCTCCGCTCCTTCCACAGAATCAGAGGCATGCACCACATTTCTGAAGGAATATAACAGTCATGAAAGTCATTGCAACCATGCCTCTCATATACATGCCAAACATTTAGGGTTTAAACACATAATTACAGCTGAGATTCTTGGTAACACTTTATAACAAAGCCCCATTAGTTATTGCATTAAATAGCACTAACTAACAATGAGTAATACATTTGTTACAGTATTATTTATTCATCTATGTTCAAGTAAACCAACTGTTCATTGTTAGTTAATGTCTGCTCCATTAAATAATATTAATAGAAAACCTTTTGTTTTTAAAGTGCCCCTATTATGCTTTTTAAAATATTATCTTCCATGTAGAGTGAAATTTAGCTGTTTGTGAATGTAAACTTTGTCTACAAAGTTTCAAAGATCAAAATGCACTATAAATAAAGTTATCTCCTAAAAAAAAAAAAAAATACTGAACTGTAGTAATTCCAGTCTCAGTGAAGATCTACAGTCTTCATTGGTTGCTCGTGAACATCATTTACTTCAAACACTGTAGTTGAAGCCGAGACTGGAAGAGTTTGGTTCGTGTTGTCGACATGTTGAGAAGACGCTGTTTTCATCACTGCGAAAGCAAATCCACTTTACTGCACTTCCAAAGGATGAGGACTAGCGCTCAAATTGATACGGTAAAACTGACATTATCAAAGATCCTCTTCTTAAAGGGTTAGTTCACCCCAAAATGAAAATTCTGTCAGTAATTACTCGCCCTCATGTTGTTCAACCCCGTAAGACTTTCGTTCATCTTCGGAACACAAATTAAGATATTTTTGATTAAATCTGAGAGCTGGCTCACTCCTCCATAGGCTTCTAAGGGATTGAAACTTGCCGGCCCAGAAAAGTTATTAAAGACATTCTTAAAAGAATAGACGAGACGAGACGAGAATACTTTTTGTGCGCATAAAAAAAAAAAACTTTATTCAACTATTCATTTCCTACTCTGTGGGTCTCGAGATAGTTCACGTAGTTACTTACTCTGTGAGCGTTGAAAAAGTACCTTCTATATAGTATGAGTGTGTGTGTAGTATGAATGTAAACCGGACATACTAAATTCACCATGCGATCATTGTCATGTGACCTACGTTGTCAGTTGCATCGCTTCACCTCCATTCATAAATCCTCTCCCGTGGCCTCATGGGATAGTAAAGTGTCCATCATATGCTCACTTCAGAATCACGCCAGAAGTAGTTGGTCATCCGGGTACTTTTCGCTTACTCTTTTATTATGAATACCATGATTTTGGACACTCATCGGCTCACATACTGTTTTTCACGTACTATATAGAATGGAAGTAGGCATTTTCATACGCAGCATGAATCTTCGTACAAACCATTTTAAGACTATTTGAAAAATAAGGTGATGTGCGATGTATATTATGAAAAAATTAAAGTGTTTTTGACCTTTGATGCATGTAAACCTATTCTAGGAAAATTCTAGGGCTGGGACAACGCGTCGACGTCATCAATGAAGTCGACGCAAAAAATACGTCAGACCCAAAACAAAGATGGCGGCGCCGGAGAGTAGTAGCTGACTGGATTGTTGACTATACTGCGCGCATAACATACATAGCGCGCGTACGGCAGAGAGGGAGAGAGCGAGAGACACACGCAAGGTCTCTCTCAGCCGTGCGCGCGCTATGTATGTTATGCGCGCAGTATGTTCTGTCTCGCATGCGCGCTCTAGATTCTGGGAGATCTGAACTAATTTGCGGGCATCAGGGAGACGCTATCAATATGCGGGGGACTCCCGGAACTTCCGGGAGGTTTGGGATGTCTGAGTGCGGGTTTTTTTCCCCCTGGCGTGCATGTTAATCAATGAGTGCATTCACACCGGGAGCGGGAGCAGGAGCAGCGCGTGAGCAACAGTGAAGCGCGGGTTTCGGCGCAGAGTCTTAATTTGCTGCTGCCCACGCTCAATTAAAGTGAAAGCACACTTTTGATGGACAAAATAAATATGATTTCACCCAAAAAGTGCAGAAAATGCACATAATTTGCATGTCTGGTGTGTTTTAACAAGAACTGGAGTGGGTATGTATGTCAGAAAAGAAAATGAAGACTCAAAAATATTTATAGAATTTTTTTTTTTTTTTGAATGCTAGACATAAAGTTATTATTTTCATCTTAAAGAAGAATTACAAGATGCACTTTTTTCAGTAAGCTAGGCCTATGTGTTTTCAAGGCTTTATTGAATGCTACCTCTGACTAAGAATGCATTACTTTGCACTTGTATAGTCTTTTATTTTGGAATTTTAAGAGCAATAAACATATATTGCAATGTTAAGGAATTCATGTTTTTTCATTCAGATATGTAAATCAACATGTATAAATTGCTATTAGTCAATTAATGGGGAGATAATCGATAACCGAATCGAAATCGAATCGGACTGGAAAAATGAATCGTTAGATTAATCGATGCATCGAAAAAATAATCGCTAGATTAATCGTTTAAAAAATAATCGTTTATCCCAGCCCTAGAAAATTCCCAAACAAACCTTAAAATCGCATAATAGGAGCACTTTAATAATGTGTTTGCAAATATTTAAATAAATATTAATAGATGCTTTAGAAGTATTTTTCTTTGTTAATTAGATTAGTTAACATGAACTAAGTAATGTTAACAAATGGAACCTTATTGTAAAATTTTACAAAATATGTTTCTTGATTTTTTTTTTTTAAATGTTACCAAGAGTTTTTGCAAAAAGTTTAAAACCCAAAACAAACATTTTTCATTTCTGCTCATGTGGCAACAATATAGTATACTACTGTTTAAATATCTATCTATTTATTTATTTTTAATATTGTATTTATTATTTCTTTAAACAAACTAAAAAAACAGTTTATTATTGAACATAATATTTGAACAATATTTGGGGGGAAAAAGAAATATATAGTGTGCAGTACACTGGTATTCATAATGAGTTTATGTATGTAAGTACCTGCTGATGTGAACGCTGAAATCTCCTCTAATAGTTCCAGGTGAAGCGTCAGCAGGGTCAGTGTCTCCCACCAGCATACGCGATGACCTCACCACATTATGCCCCTCCCACACCTGAAAACAAGCCAATGAGAACTCCTCAAATAAATTGTGTAAAACTACTTTTGAATGTTCATTAATCACATTGGAAATCAAAGTGCATTGCGCACAGTATGTTCTGGTTGGACACATTTTGTCACATGCATTAGGGTTTTGCACTCTTATTTGCATCCTGCAGAAATAGTATTACAGCTGTATGATATTCATAACTGGCCGTTACTCTACCATGGCGACTACAGGGCCAGAGGTCATGTAGTACAGAAGGCTGGAGTAGAAGGGTTTCTTCCGCAGCGAGATGTAATGCTGAGCCAAAAGCTTGTCAGAAGCCTGAAAAATACAGACACATGATGAACAAACACGTCACACACACACACACACACACACTCATGAACGTCTTGTGTGTGTATCCCGCACCTGCAGCATCTTCAGACCCACCAATCGGAATCCTCGCTGCTCAAAGCGCTTGATGACGTCACCGATCAGACGCCTCTGAACGCCATCAGGTTTCACAGCGACCAAAGTCCGTTCTTTAAAGCCCGACAAATCTACAGCAGTTCAGAAACATATCAATACATGTCCGTTTTCATGGCGACTACACATTTTTTTTCTTCAGATTACTGATAAATTTGTTAAAAAGCAAACAGCGCCATCTACTGCCCAAGTGTGAGACACACCAAACAATGCCGTTTCCAGGGGGAGGTTAACATTAAAGTTTACAAGTGCACACGAATTTAAAAAAAAAAAAAGTGCAATGATAAATCCTGTATAATAAAAATGGCAAACATTTTGTATAAAATAAAATAGATCTGTCCAATTTGATGTCATTGTGACTTTAAAATTATGCACTTCCTTTGAGATTTTAGGTCAAGAAAATTTTTAATTTGGACTACATTTATAATATCTGGATGTCTTTTTGTTAAATTTAAAATACCAAAGCATTTATTATTTTAAACTTCTTTTTGTAAAAAAATATTTAGCTTCAAGTGTTGACTTGTGTTGTTTTTATTCACTATACTTGCTTTGATATTTTGTTTACTAAAATAATGACAATCTGGCATTTTATGAATCAGAATGTCAATGCTTTTTACACTGTTTGTGGCTGTTGTAATAATTACACATTTTGGATTAATGACAACAGACTTAAAGGAGCACTTCACCCATTTCAACATTAATCTTTATTGAAAGTGGGTCATATATGTAGTCGAAATGTAAAATCATTTTTGAATTTTGTGCCCTCTTGACCGAGAAAAGACAGAAAATAACTTTAGGGCGCATTTGCATGTAAGACAACAACTCTCGCAATGCACCACATTGCACAGCTCCGCAAGCCACTCCCACTAATCCAGAACAGCGCAAACATCAGAGAAATCACCCTTTCGTCTACAAGGCTAACTTTAGCTGCCACCAGAGTTAGAAATTCATTTCACACAAAATGTCTAGTTAGTTGGCTGTGGCGAGCAGGACGAGGGCGAGGGACGTGAGAGGACGGCGCGAGGCCGGTGGCGTGAGTGATATTAAACGACACCTGTGAGACGCACCGGGCTCGCATCTCTCACGGAGGAGCTGAAGCTTAAAAGGAGGAGCGACGACAGGGCAGATCGAGAGAGGAACAGGCCTGATTTTATGTTGCGTTTTGTTTCTGTTGTGTGTGGCCAGCAGTCGTCCGCGAGGGGCTGCTGGCTTATACTTTTGTTTTGTATTTGTTTATTTTACTATTAAAATGTTTAAATGTTCGCCGGTTCCCGCCTCCTTCTTCCCACAACAACGAATCCCGTTACATTGGCAAACTCATTAGCAGCTAGTGAATTACTCCTCGTTTGTATTTCTTTCTATATGGTGAATTATTACATGATACCTGGATGTTCAGTCAGAACATGCGGTGCGACACTAGGATGGTTCACATCACAACACAAACATCCGTGTGCTCGTCTGATTCAGACAATAGTAACCGACTGCAGAACCGCAGAACTGTTGATTTTCCTTCAGAAAACACAGAAGTAGCGCAATGCCTGGCCACGCCCACTTCCGGCATCAGACGGTTAGGCTGGCGCTGTCATCCTCACACTGCTATGACGTATATGGTTCTGCGGTTCTGCAGTCGGACCTATCTCGATTCAGAGATTTCGTCCAGGAAATTGCCATCGTTGAAATTCTCTGCAGCAGACGGACACAGAGTCCGTAGCGCACAGCGAGAGCACAGGCAACAGCAGTCCGCCCAGCTCGAGCTCGTCCGCGACAGGCAGCCGCCTCCTGTTCCTCCATTAAAATCCTCTTCTTCCATATCATGTTTATTTTTTCCGTCATTGTCGTAACTTCCAATCTCCACAGCGCTTGTTAGCTTAGCTTCCAAACAAGATGGCTGATATTGATTTCAGTATCTGCAAGTGAAGTACCACCCACATCTGTAATAGTCAAGTCAAGTCAGTGGGTTGTTTCAAAGCAGCTTTACAGAGATAAACATATCATTTAAGGTAACAGATTGTTTTGGCGTTATAGCGGTTCTTGAATAATGTTACTTCCAGCTAAAGTTAACTTTGATTGATTCACCTCCGTCGAAATGATCAGACTTTAAACACGAACCTGTGATTAACGCTGACGGTAACAGTCATGTAGCGTGAGTGGGTCCCACACCCTGAATAAATGATGAGCTAGTGTTTGTAGTCTCTGCACTTTTCAATGAAATGTGACTTCCTGCTTATTATGACGCAAAATGACGATTTTTACGTCATAAGCAGGAAGTAAAACACTTAAATCCTTATTTCTCCCATCTCAGGGAAAAATAAAGGAAAAATCCACGATCATTATAAAATATGACTGGGTTTCTAACAATACAAAGCTTAATGCAAATGGGTGAAGTGTCCCTTTAAATGTTTAGAGTATTTTAGCACTTACATTTTAATTATGTATTACTTGTTTGTCTTATAAATTTGAAAACATGTTCTTCTGAAAGTAGGTGTTGTTCAAGTAAGATTTGGAGGGATCCTAACAAAGAAAATGCAGAAACTTTATAAACTAAAAGCTTACTGCCATTAACATTCAGTCATTGTCTCTCATTATTGGTCATTTAGCAGCATTTTGAATATTCATTGCAGGAACAGAGTGATATTTCATCTGATATCATCAGACAAATGATGAGTTTTGCCAGACCATCTCTTACAGGAACACTAACAGTCTCTATGAAGAAAAGTTCCTGCAAACGTGACAGACACGCGATCACTTACAGTCATTCCTTGAAGCTTCATAAAATTAAGGTGGTTCCACACACACACACACACACACACACACACACACACACACACACACACACACACACACACACACACAGAGAGAGAGATTAATGTGCTCAGTTTGAGCCCAAATGCTGCCAAGATGCATTCATACAACACTCTGATTGGCCTCCAGACGGACCAATCACACGCACTGTGAAGAGGGAGTTCGAGGTCACCAGTTAGTCAGGTCTAACCGGCCTTTTTAAGATTTAGATGTATTTACAGTCAAGTGGAAGTGGATAAAAAAAAAGTTCAAAGTTGTCCTAAGACAAGAACAGGTATTGTTAAAAATTAATGTAACTTTGATGAAAGGTTTTGATCCACTTCAAATGTTGACTACTGTATTTCTATTTAATAATTTTAGTGCTTCAACAAACTAATTTCAGCTTATTACCAAGGCAACATTTCTTGTTTTCATTTAGTTAAAAAAAAAAAAACAGCTTTATTTCATTTAACTGAAATATATTCAACACATGTGCAAACCAATGGAATTACCATGATATCAATGCAAAATATAATGTGCTTTTTGGTGGATTACAGTTGAAGGAGTTTCAAGTTTGAGATGGGGAGTATTTCTATGCTTAAGTGTAGTTTGTGTATGATTTCAGTTTCAGTGTGTGATACAGAAATCCATTTCAATGTTGACCTCTGCAACTAGTGTGAGACAACGACTTGCACGAGCTCCTAATGTAGTCAGCACTCACCCACGTGAGGACGCAATAACACAATTAACCAATCACTGATCGCCTGAGGACAGAGCAAGTAGTGAAACAGAGCACATACAATAGGCTTTATGCACAGCTGCACTACTTCCTGAACTTCCAAGTACAGCTCGCTGCATCCTGCGGTGGATATCCAATCCAACCCGGCCCACATCCAAGTGTGACGTCAGAAGCCACGCCCATCCAAGTGTGACGTCGGAAGCCTCGCCCATGTCCAAATATGGCACGTGACTCGATTTAAAGATGAGGTTATTTATTTGTATAGAAGTGTGACGCTATTATTGGTGCAGTTAAATTGTGACGCTTTGGCAGGCTTGGAATGGTCTAAATCACAATCACTCCCTTAACAGTGAGCATTGCTCACTGGTTTTGTAAGTTAATGACATGGTAGTACAAGTAAACAATGTACCTTAAAACGATATTTTTGTATTTCTCTTGTATTTCTGTTACACAAATGGTAATAAATAATCATGGTTTTGCTATTATAAACGTATAAGGGAGCATCTATACTTAAACTAAAACGAGTTTTTGTCACTTTCTTAATTATATGGGATCCAAACTGCACTTATAGTTACCCCTCCTAAATAAAAAAAATAAATGTAAACTTTTTTTACATTTCTTTCTATGTGGTTATAGAAATATTGCATTTTTACAACCAAATTAAGAATTCACTTATTAGTTAATGCCTGTTATAGCAAATGACTTTGAAATCAAATAATAAAACAGCAGAATGGAATTTATGTAAACCGTAAAGAACCAATATGGTGAAACTTGAAAAATTTGAATATCGTGCAAAAGTTCATTTATTTCAGTAATTCAACTAAAAGGTGATACTAATATATAATATAGACTCATTACATGATGCAAAGTGAGATATTTCAAGCCTTTATGTGTTATAAATTTGATGATTATGGCTTACAGCTATGTTGAATTACTGAAATAAATGAACTTTTCCACAATATTCTAATACATAAAAAACAGTTAATCTCTCGCTTCACCTTCTGTACAGGTTTTATGAGTTTAACATATCAAAATATCATCATAGTTCAAAATATCTTGGTCACAAATTAATTTTTTATTTAATATTTTGTGTTAATACATCAAGTTAATACATCACATGGGTCTAAAATGACCCATCTATGCAAGTGTGATAACTTTTAGTTAAAATAACCAATGTCACAGTTGTTCAGAGCAACACATTCACTATACTACTTAAAATCAATAGTATATTCCTGCACAATCGGAGGCTGCAGCTTTAGGACCCCGGTTACAGGACCCTAGTTTTTTAGTTTGTACATACATAGGTCGAAAGACATTTAATCTCAGGAGTATTTTTATAAAATGTGTTTTTTTTTATTCAAAATGTATCAGAGGCATTTTGAAAAAAATTTATTTACACAAAACAAATAAAAAATGTACATCAATCCTTAAACAACTGAAAAAGTTGAGTGAGTCTTAGTTTCTTGAATTATACTGTATATTGTTAAACCTCCTTAAGTTTAACTAATTTGCTCATTATCAGGTAAAATAACGATGGAATCAGCATATGCAGTCACTAAATGATATGGCCAGATATCAGAAGGCAAAACTCGAGAATGATTCAAGCATGAATTTATTTATATATACACATGTATTTATTTATATTATATGAAAGAACAAAATTATTTGTGCTAGAACAAAAGCACCAAAAAGATCCCCTTTTCCACCAGTTGCTGCAAGAATGGCTTCAACTCTGAGAGAGAGAGAGAGAGAGAGAGAGAGAGAGAGAGAGAGAGAGAGAGAGAGAGAGAGAGAGAGAGAGAGAGAGAGAGAGAGAGAGAGAGAAATATATATTTCAGTTGAACATGTTAAACAAATGTCTATTTCTGATTTAACACTTAACACTTATGAAATGTTGGAGTTGTAGAGAGAGAAAGTCAAAAAGAATATTCATGTTACTGACATCTAATTCCAAACTCCAAATGTGTAAATGTAAGAGCAACACCTATCAATTAAATGGTCTCCCTTCTTTCCTCAATTGTTTGTCAATTTGTCGGTTAAAATCTTCTACTTCACTGAAATAGTTTTCAGAGAACAGTCACTGTTGTGTTAACAGAAATATCAGTAACAAAAGGGTGCACTGGGCATTGTGCAAAAATAATTAATAATCTACTCTGACCTGCAATGGATGAATAGAAAATGAGAATTTCTCTTTAGTCATAAAACTGCAGCAGGGACATTCGAACCACCCATCCAGGCAGAATTGATCTGCATCAGGCTTGAACTGAAAATGTGTAGGATGCTGTAAAACATGACAATGACAATAATTATGTGATCTTTCCATTAATCTAGAATAGATAGATAATTTGGCACATACACAGAGTTATCAAGTAAGATGTAGTGAAATGATTCGGTTGGTCAACCAAGTTACTTTGAAGTGATAAGTTAGGGTTGTAAGTGATCAGACCAAAACGTTTTAACCTAGCTATCGTTAAGTTGTTAATTCCAATTCAGACAAACCTTTGGCCCGACAGTTAACATTACGCTAACTTGATTAGGATACAAACCAAAGTTTATTTTTACTTACCGACATGGCAAACAATCACTTGCTTTCAAAATTGTAGTACTCCTGAAAAGAAGTATAATATAGTTAGGAAAGTCTGCTGATGTGATGGCTGGCTTGCTGTCACTGTATTTACTATGAATCAATAATAAAACTTATTCATATTACAACAGTTTATCATCACATTACATTATCTAAACATGTATAACTTCTTTGCATATAAGCAATGACAGAACAACTTCAAACTTTTTCAATATGGAGTATTTACAACTGACAGAGTGACAATCAAATCTCATATTCTTTACAAGCAGAATAAGATTTACAGGATGTAACGTCACACATAAGCACTGAAATAATATATTTTTCATATTTACCCTTAATCCAAATAACAACATGACATTGGTGATATAATAATGCAGTTAGTTGGTATAGTATAATAGTAATAGTATACAAAACAAAATTCTCAGTTGAGAATCTAACGGAGTTACTGATACGAAATTCACTCAGCCAAATGTAACACACAACTCAGTTGAGACATTACAGGGGAGTTAAATGACCAAATATGTAAGTTGAAGATAATTCATAGCTCTAAAACAACATCATCAAACCTTATTGATTCGAATTACATCGATATTTTGACAATGCTAGTCAAGTGATTAGCCGCACCGCACTGACCTCATTACAAACTATTATTAAAGTGATAAGAGCTGCTTTCAACAGGTAACATCTCATTCTCATACAACTCATCCGTATTATGTTGAACAGTGTTTATACTAAAACCGCAAGTGTGTTTTGTGCATTTTGTTTCGCAGTTACCTTCGTCTACTAGTCTTCTCTTCTCGATGCTTCTTCCTGTTTTTAAATGTTAATGAGAATGCGTCCAATTTGGGCATGGGCGTGGTGGCTTCTGACGTCACACTTGGATGTGGTTGGGTTGGATGTCCACCGCAGGATGCAGCGAGACAGCCAGCTCCTTGTTTCCTGTCTGACATTATTGGACAAACTGATTAATCCAGGTGTGCCTGACCAGTAACAAATACCAGACACACCTGGGTTAATCAGTTTGTCCAATAATGTCAGACAGGAAACAAGGAGCTGGCTGAAGTTCAGGAAGTAGTGCAGCTGGGCATAAAGCCTATTTTATCCTATAGATAAAACTTTGATTTAAAAAATATAATTCGATATATTTTTGTAAGGGTTGTTACAATATATAGTACTGATAACAGATGGTTATATACCGTGGTACATTCGTTTAGGCCTGTATACAACATGAACCTTTACATAATCATTCTTGGTAAGTTACGTCGACGTATATCTAGAGAAAAGACAATGTTATCAAATCTAATACAACGGTACTGAAATGTATTTGCCATGTATTATTCTGAGGTACTAACGTGTACAAAACTCATCGTAGTCGTCTTTTTTACTATACAGCATTACTATGGTACGCATATGTTATTTCCACGCTAAGCGTCCAATAAAATGGTATTGTCATGGTACTTTTAATTTTCCCTGTCCTAAACCTTTTTCATAAAGAGCACTTTTTGCACTAAACCTGTTTGTTCTCCACACAGAGAGAGATGCATGTAAACAGACCTGTGTCACTGCTGAGGCTGCGCGCGTGCCCGTGTCCCAAAGCGCGCGTGGAGCTCCGTGTGGCCGCTCGCGCTCCGTGGACGCCGAGAGCAAATCTCACAAACATCATCTTCATTTCCAGGTCAAGTCCTTCTCAAAACTTCAGCGACTGGCGCTTTTACAACTCCGAAACTTAACCCTTTGATGCACAACATGGGTCTAAATAGACCCGACTGAGTTTTAATTTTCTATATCTTTGCAAGAAATTAATTTCATCATTCAGTATTCCAGGTATTCCTCAATTAACTTGTTTTTGATCATCACAAATCCTTATTTTTATTTTTACTTTCTTACTTTTTGAATAAAAATAGTTTTTGTATCACAACCCTTCTAATGCGCAACATGGGTCTAAAAAGACCCGTATTCATTTCCTATGTTATTTCAGTGATGGCTGAGTGTTTTCTTTGCTGAATCTTTAAAATATATGTATTTTATCATTTGTTATTCCAGGTATTCATTAAATATCTTGTTTTTGATTTCCACAAATCATTGTGTTTATGTTTCCTTTCTTACTTTATAAACAAACACAGTTTTTGTATTTCTACATCAATTTTACATACACGGGTCTAAAAAGACCCGTATTCATTTCCTATGTTATTTCAATCATGGCTGAGTGTTTCTTTGCTGAATCTTTAAAATATATGCATTTTATCATTTGTTATTCCAGATATTCATTAAATATTGATATTTATGTTTTCTTTCTTACTTTATATACAAACAGAGTTTTTGTATTTCTACATACATTTTACATACATGGGTCAAAAATGACCCATATAGAAACCTTTGATATTTGCACATATTTGCAAGTAGGAACATATTTACTGCATAAATACTATTACTATAGTATTATTACATAATATTATTCACCTGCCACACATTTCACAACTCAACACTGCTGCTTTTGTATATTTGATGCAAGTCTTATTTTATTTTATTTTAACCACAGAAAATATTTGATATTTTGTAAAAGATAACTGGACATAATATTTGAATATTAGGTTACTTGACCATGAAATCCTAGTGAGAAATTACTTGTGAGAAAGAGAAACATATCCAATACTATTAGCTAGCTAGCTGTCGACCTATTCTATTCTAGCTAGCTAATGTTAGCTACACTAAAAAAAGATGGGTTTTTAAAGGGAAACTCAGCAACTCTAGCTATTTCTTCGCTGATTTTCACTTTTGTTGTCGCATGTTTTCTCAACGAGCTCCCCCTACAGCTGTGGGACGTATATTTCACAACAATGTTGTAAAAAAAACTCACTTGCGGCCCCTCCTCCCCCTTTCTACCGCTGCTCATGTGCATCTGTTATTATCGGAGCCGGCCAACTTTATCGTGTGGAGCTATACCGAGGTGGGTAATACATCATACACATTGAGGGCGGCGTGTGTGTTTATGTCGAATTGCCATAAAGCATTTAGTGTTTCTCACTCGTTCTCGCTTCTCACAAGACTTCCTGTTTCCAACTTACTGGGACGTTAGTCCCCATGTTGCAAGGTTGGTTTTCCGCCTAGGAACGTTGGGGGGAGCAGAGAAAGTCACCATTTTCACCAGAACAGGTTATTAAACCATCCAAATGATTTCTAAACGGTTTTATTAAGTTGAAATAGTTGCCAAATGCCCCTTTAAAGCTTATTTACATGTAATAGGCCTAAAAGTTCTATTAAGAACCGTATAGTCTTGAATAAGCCATTATGCTGAAATGGTTCGATGTGTTAAGAGTTTAGGGTCCTTTTTTCCCCGCCTTTTGATTTTAAAATCTGTAACTGTCAAAGCCACCTGAAATAACATAGGAAATGAATACGGTCATTTTAGACCCGTGTATGTAAAATTGATGTAGAAATACAAAAACTGTGTTTGTTTATAAAGTAAGAAAGAAAACATAAACATAATGATTTGTGGAAATCAAAAACAAAAAATATTTAATGAATACCTGGAATAACAAATGATAAAATGCATATATTTTAAAGATTCAGCAAAGAAACACTCAGCCATGATTGAAATAACATAGGAAATGAATACGGGTCTTTTTAGACCTGTGTATGTAAAATTGATGTAGAAATACAAAAACTGTGTTTGTTTATAAAGTAAGAAAGGAAACATAAACATAATGATTTGTGGAAATCAAAAACAAGATATTTAATCAATACCTGGAATAACAAATGATAAAATACATATATTTTAAAGATTCAGCAAAGAAACATTCAGCCATCACTGAAATAACATAGGAAATGAATACGGGTCTTTTTAGACCCATGTTGCGCATTAGAAGGGGTATCCATAGCTTGCGCATCAAAGGGTTAAGAGAGGTCCGATACTTTTAACCCCCGGACCGTTACAGACATACGCACGCGCGCGGTCATTCACATGACAGGTCAAAGTCAAGCGAGCACGAGCAGTCACAGTATTATATGTTCAGCTATGATGTTCAGATGAAGTGCGTGTCATGGGAAGAAGAGACCCGCAAAAGACCCGCAAAGTAATTACCGGTCATCACGTGCACTGCACAAACACGACCTCTTAATTAACACAATTTCCTGTTTAGAGACCCATGAAAGATATCTTATAGGCGCACAAAAATGCATTTAGCCATATGAAAAAGACAGCTAAATAAAAAACGGAACTGAATTAATAGTTTGTTCTTTAAATTATTTTGATTCAATAGAAGAATATTTTGTCAGATTTTATTTTAATTTCAAGGGACATTTTTCAGCTATTCTTTCCCAAAAGTGAAGTGAGGTCGAAAGACAAACACACATTAATCGATTGCTGGCAGGGAAACAATGTTAGCCTTTGGAGAACAAGCACAAATAGAACTGGCTACTTTTGATCATTTCAAACAGAAGATTCAATCCCATTAACTGATAACTGATAGTAGAAATGTAGGCCACGGCCCACGGGTGAATAATTCTAGCCTTGATCACTGATAATGTGAGACAGCAGAGAAAGGGTATTGCAAATGATTAAGTGTTATTAAGAGAATTTAACATTCAGCTAAACTTAGAAATTTTACTCCAGAAATCTTAAATCTATCATGAATGACGTGAGGGAATGTAAATATACATCATCACTGACCACTAGAGGTCCCGGTTTACATACTTTACCAGTAGCGCTTCATTTAATCTCATTCGTTCTGTGACATTCAAGGTGCATGTGTAATTAAAGGTAGGGTAGGTCGTTTTTGGTCTAAAAAACTTTTTCCCAAATTTGTTTAAACTTTCTATATATATCAATGCATAATTAAAATGTAAGTACTCTGATGCAAAGAGTATAAAAATCGAGTGACTCTAGACCGTTTAATCTGCACTAAACACAGCTCATTATTTCCTTCCGGGACGAAACTAGCTATGTTTCCATCCACACGCTTTTATCCGCATTAAGTGATATCGAATGAAAAATGCCTTATGGAAACAGTAAAATTCGATTGAATTTCATGAATATCGACTCAAATGAAATACGATCGGTCTCATCGAATTTGATCTTGATACGTCTTATGCGATAAACGCGGATGGAAACGTTATTATGGTGCGATCCATTTTGCCTAGTAAAACTTTGTTCGCAAATGTTGGCTTGAATGTTGTGCAATTCGATGAGAAAATGAATGGAAACACCTTAACATGTCTCAAATCAATTCGATATACCAATTTGATCGCAAAACAGCATGTGACGTCATTACGCACAGGTTTTTATCCGCTTTAAAGCCGTTTGATGGAAACACACTTTCACCAGCTTTATTCGCATGAGGTTTTTTACCGAACTTCAGATAATTCGATAGCTTGTTTTCATATGACGTCACGCCACTGCGTTGCCATGGCGCGAAATGCAAATGGAGGGCAGGAAGTGATTTGCTGTATTTAGAAAGCACTATAACAAACGCAAAATGCCTATGTTTTGCGTCGTTTATGGTTACTTAAATCGATCAAACCACGAGGAGTTTTTATCGTGTACCAAAAGTTGTTGTTCATAAAGGGGGAAAATGCAAGAAATTGACCGAAAAACTCCGGAAAAACGGCTTGCAAACCTACGTCTGCGGTCGGGAGGAGCCGAATGGGAAAATGCCCGTTTGTGCAGTGATCACTTCGTCAATGGTGAGTTAATACAACTTAAGTGGCTATGTTTGTGTAACGTGTAACATTTACGAACTTTGTAAAGTCAAAGTATGTCTCTAAGACGAGGTAGTTGCTGATATCTACCACCTCGATGGCAGGAAAATCTTTCAATTCAGTTGAAAATCGCTCCTCTTCATAACGTAAGGATCACGTCCAACATATGTTTGATTTTTTGTTTACATCTTTCTCTTGTAATAGCGTGTAAAGTAGTACAGTACGGACTTTCCTCCATCTCGTCCATTGCGCTCTTCACTCCCCTGCCCTCCATCTGAATTCCGCGCGTCATCATAATCACGTGACTGAAACCCAGCTATTGACAAGTGGATGGAAACATGGATTGGCTTAGGCGACTGTCACTCTCTCGCAACCATGGCAACACCCCCGCTGCTACATGCGCTGCCCACATGCGCGCACTCGTTTGACTCGAGGAGGGTAAGAGACTAGTAAGAGACACAATTACATGCAAAACACGGCGTATATGTTATGAATCTTACACGAAATTCACCTTCATCACAGTGTAACTGATTGTAATGGGAAAACGTGTATCAATGCAACCTGTTTTTAGCTTTGCTTTATGTTACTAGCTCGTTAACGAATCAAACTCAATATATTTTAAACTTTACCAGTATCGATATGCTAGCTTGATAGTGAGTACTAACAGCCATGTTAGTTGTTTATATTCATAATGATAAAGTTAGGTATTTTATTACATGTGAGTATGACACACTAGGGTAGCCAGAAAAGAGTCTCTGGGTGTGCATAAGAAAAACTGGGTGTGCCACATTTATTGTCAGATTAATGTGGAATAAACCCAGACTTTGCCTATCTCTAACTTTACAGAATAGACTGGGCTGATGTGTAAAACTATAGGCTACTCAGCGCCAAATAACCATAATACTATATAAAATATAACTCAGGGCTCGACATAAAGCCTCTTCATGTGCTTGTCCTTCGAACAAGTAAATCGGTCACTTGTCAAGTAAAAAAATTACTAAAAATGCAATAATAAAGCAATATTCT